TGCTATTTCGACACTAATTTCAACCATTGATAAAACTTGTTCTTCATTGCTTCTTAGATAATCTCATTTTACACACCAATATTCTCCGGGTCAAATTTTCCTTCATTCACTGTAATCTTTAAATCCTTCCAAAGCAGACAAGGAGACCAAAAAAAAAAAAAAAAAAAAAAAAAATCCAAATAGGAAATAAGCAAATAAAAAAAAGTCATACTGTGGTTAAAAGTTAAAACCACTAAAGGTGGGTCTTCTGAGACAAGAGGTTTGGTTTTGGCTACTTCAAACTTTTCGTGACATTTCAGCCAGCCTGCAATACCCCTGTACCTCAATTTTCTTAGCTGTAAAATGGGAAACATGATTATAAATCATATAGCCCCACACTGCACTGGAAATATGAATGCATTAGTATCCATGAAGTATTTGGAAGATATTGATGAATTGAAAGTGTTACTTCAGAAAGCATAAAAATTATTTCAATGTTTTTAATAAACCAACCTTTCTAATTCTGTCTCTTGTTTTTATCACACATTTCTTCTACTGTAGATAAAGATCTCTATCCTTCACCTCTGGTACTAACCCCGTTTAAACTACTGTCTCCTGCACAGCAATCCTAATCCTGCAATGAATAATTATCTTACAAAATAATGTTACAAGGCAGAATCCAAACAATCAGGATAGTTTTACTTCAGATTTACTACCCAGTCATTAAAATGACCTTACATTTAAGTTATCTGGTATTGCAGGGAAAAAAACAACCTACCAACCAACAACCAAAAACCAGTAGTGAGAGCCCTCAGACCAAGGGACCAAAGAACCCAGAAAAACTTTCAAAATTAAATCTGGGTTCAGCATCTCTGGGAAAAAACTCCTCTTGCCAGCCTTTGTGAATAACTTCTCCAGCTCTCTGACATTTTAGAGGATCTCTTCCTTTCGTCACAGCGCACTGGAGTGCTCCCCATATGGGCCATGACTAGGTTTATCTTACCAGACAGCTTACTCTGACTCATTACCAGTTTTTTCTCCTACAGGCAGGCACAGCCTGGAGCTTTCCCCAGAGCCCTAAATAGGCGCCTGCCCTATGCCTCCTGGCATTGGCAACAACAGACCTCTTCCATCTTGGGTGCACTAAAGGTTCAGCCCTGTGGGAAGAGCATGTGTCAGCACCAGGGTGATGGCTAATCCAGCTCTGCTCCTGCACTGGCCGGTGTGGGTAGAGGCGTTCCCGGCATCTCTGCCCGCCAGCCACAGGGAGGATGCTTCTGTCCCTCACTCCTGACACAGGCCAGGGTGCAGTGCTCAGAATACCACAGCAAGAAGTCTTACGGACCATAGTGGCTACAAGAACCTTATGTCACTGGCTGGGGCAATAAACAGCAACAGCCTCAGGGCTGGCAGTCTGGAATATGCTTGCTGGTAGTACCCAGAAGTTTCCCTACTGCCTGGAGAATTAAAAATCCTAAAGACCTGACATTTTAATTTTATATTAATGTATTTTAATGAACTTATCTATGCTTCCTTTTAACCTCCAAAGCTCTTCCCCACAAATACATTTCCCCCCACCTTCCATGATTTCAGGGGTGAATGAAGAGCCCAATACCTTCAGTGGGACTCCTATTGATTTGGGCTTCAAAGTCCTCATTCCTTGCCTATATGATTTCAGTTCTATTTTAAAGGTTTAGGTAAGCTTAAGAGTAACCTCACCTATTTTAAACTACGCTAATTTGATCATATTATTCTACAGTTTAGAGGCTCAGAATTCAACATTGACAGTCAAAGATGACTCAGACTGCTCAATCCTTTCTGGATTTCTCTTTTCTCTTTTGGAAAACAAACCCTCTTACAACCTTCTTTATTACCTTTTTGGCAGTTGCGATTTATCCAACCAGACGACAGAGACTTTCAAAGTTGTATGACCAACTGGAGAATTGGATGACCAAACCTGTTCCAGTGGGGAATCTAAATTGGTTAGACACATTGTTTACATTAGGACTTTCCCCTCTTAGGTCGCAGTCAGTCTGCCAGTGAATGAAGGTACATGCTGGCCTTGAGACAAAACCACCCACATTAAGTAAATTTAAGTCAGTGCTTCCTCCAGCAAACAAAGTGTTGTATTACTTACAAGCATATTTGATTATGGTTAAGAGAATTGTTTAAACCCATTTAGCAGATCAGAGAAAAACAGATTTAAAACTGATGTGCTCATTGTAACAAACACTACTTGGTATCTGCTGCAAAGATCAACACGCTTGATGACTTCCATGTAAAAAGTTTAGTGAAAACACAGGCCATAGTAAAGACAGAAACATCAGATCTCACCATTTTCTCAAAGTATCTTCAGATTTTAGATTTTAAATTGAAGCTAAAAGTAGTATTATCCTAACATTTCTGAAACAAAATCAAGTTCATGAAAGCAATACTATGAATAAATTCTCAATACTGTGTTTGCCTCTCTCTTCAAGGCTGTAACAATACCCATCAATATCATCATCAAGAACACACCTAAAACCCTTTGAGAAAATCACAGCATCAAAAGTATCTTTATGCACATCTGTCTACTATAGCATCCAGTAAACATGCAGATTCATACAGCGGCATGCAAACAGCCTAGCAAAGAAATGGTTAAGACAAAGAATAACCTCAAAGCAATTCCAGTAATCCCTCTAGATCATTCTGTTTGTGAGAAGTATTCTACTAGAAAGCTGGACTAGTATCTGCTCAGAAGTTACGGTTGATCTGACATAAGTCAAAGGAACCTGCAAACTGCAAGGAGGTAGTTGCTAGATAAAAATCCCATGGAGATGAAGGCTCGTGATAACAATCAGTTGGCTCTCCTTTATTTTCCAGAAACAATTATTTTACCTTTAATTTCAAAGGGGCTTTGGGGGAAAAGATTGAAGGAAATAGAGTTCATTTTACCAAAGCACATATTGCAAAAAATAAATTTAAAAATCTATTTTTGGCCTAGAATGGTTGAAGAAATCCCTGATTAGCCTCTTAATGGGGTGAGTCCAGTTTAGTGAGAATGATCACCAGAGGGAGTCATTGACTTACCCATTAAAGTCAAAGGGAATTTTACATATACCAGAAGTGTAGAATATAGGGGCAGAGCTGAGAAAGCCTCCAAACAGATTGGAGTTCAGGGACTAACACAAAACACCATTTTATGGATTTCTTCTGAATCAATTTTCCCCTTTGGAGTCCCAAAGGATGACTGCTATATTCCACTGTGAAAGTTAGAAAGAAGGCACTGAAGTCATTCATTCAGTGGATACACACTCCCACAAAAAAACCAAACCAAACCAAACATCAAAATCCCAGCACTTAACTGATTTTAAAGTGTTTTGGAGTGGTGCAAGTACTAACTGCTCAGTTTTCTCTTCGGGTATGCAACACATTATAGTCCCTCTAGAAAAGCAATTTTTAAAAGCACAAAGAAAATCTCCAAGTGCCATACATGAGAGTGTATCATACCTCTTGGGAATATCAGGACTTCCAACAGGAAAATAAAAGAGTGAAAAGGAGACAGGAAGAATTCAATGTTAGTAACTAACAGAGGAGGTAAGAATAGGGATTTGTGAACCAAATGACAAAATGAATTAAGTAGATGAACCAGTCTACTCAGTCATAAGCAAGTGTGTGTTTCACGCTCAAACACCTAAATTTCATGACCTTCAAAGAAATACTTTCATGCTAAGAACCGGACTTTTCCTTGCTGGACTTTTCATGTTCTTGCCACAAAACCCCAGCAGACTTCAGTTTGAAAACAAGCTCATTCACTAGGCAACTTTCCCCTTGATTTTGTACAATAAGATTATTCAGCAGAAAATTAGGAGATTAAGAAAAGGCAAGGAAATAACCACACCCAACCAAATGCAATTTCAGCTCCTGAGAAATAACCTCTGAACAAATGGAATTCAATTTGTTTCTGTGTTCCCAGGTAGCAGCAGCACCTTGTTTTGCTTGTTTATTTAATTACTTCTTCTTGTTCATGCAATTAGCTGACAGACTGTAGCCTTTTGTTCATTATAACACACTTATTTGCACAGTATTTTCCATTTTGAGGCTGAATTTTTGATAGAGGCTCTATTTTGGGCTGTGGCAGGCAGAGAACCATCGGGAAGCCTCTCAGGGCAGCATGCAGCAACCTGCTCCTTCGTGGAGTGAGTCGCTCCAGGAACTGCACTGGCTGCCCATCTGCTTCTGATGGCAAAACAAAGCCTAATTTCTAACATGCACTGCAAAGCACAGCTTGGCTTAAGACCTGTCTGTCTTTCATAACATGCACCACCAAAAAACAGCTGAGTTCATCATAAAGCATTTTTGGCAACAGGCTGTCCAAGCTTAAGTTCACCGCCACTTAGAATGGTTCAAAACATCACTCTTGCCAGCGTATGCTTGACTTAAAATTAACAGTACTCCTACTCTGTTAGGGTAAAAAAAATACAGAGGAAGGCTTTCTTTTATGAACAGTTTGATTTAACATCCAGTTAAGTCTAGCGCTTGTAATGCTGAACTAAATTGTTGCACGGTTAAATCTTTTTTTAAACACTCAAGATACACCCCGAGATCACAAAGTTTAGTAGAATGCTGACCCTCTCCATTAATAAATGCAACAATCACCATCCCCCAAGTCCTCTGAGTTTCTGTCAGTGAACTGATGTCAGCTTATTTTTACTTAGGTTGCTCAGAAATTGAGGAATCTGCACCTTCTTACAGAAATGAGAGGCAGTCAGTGCTCGTGGGAGTCTGCATGCTTTGGTACACTAAAGGCACCTTCATCTCAGCCTCCAACTAAACACCCCCAAAACTCTACCTCTTGGGAGAAACTGCACACCAACTTACGCTATTTGAAATATACAGAACTGGAACAGGCAGCTTGGAAAAATTGTTAATCTTTGTAGTTTACAATTCAGCCTTCATTTATGACGCACAGCTATGGTTAGGTTTAGTCGTAAGCAACTGCAGCAAGGCGCAGCCTTTTAGTGGCATCGTTTTAACCCTACCTGTGCCATCTGCCTCTCCAGCTTTGACCGGGGAATATCATCAAAATAGTTTTCATTTCTTCTTCTCCTTGCATCGCCCTGCATGATAATGTGGGGAACGTCCAGGGAGCCACCAGTAGTGAAAGTGCTTTGGCTAAGTGATGGAGACAACTGAGGAGGAGTGTGGTTACCGCTGGGTTCCTGGGCAGAGAGAAGAAAAATGCAGTGTAAGAAGAACAGCATACTGCTGACTTCAAACCACACATCTGAAAGTGTATTTGAATTATTCTTACTAAAAATATTAAGGAACAATTCCTGAAATAGAGGTTACTATGGACAGACTTGAGAGATTTGCTACCTAATGTGCAGAGCCCATGTGGAAGGAAAAATAATTCCCTATTTACATCAACTAGTGGCAAATTCCCTCTCTAAAGCCTCCCTGTGTAACACGTACTCCCTTCTATGACTGCTAGACAGATAAAACAGTGAGTTACTTTTTGTCAAGGCCCAAATAAAGCCTTGATTTAGTACTAGCTATTTGTAAGATGAAATACATTCTCACCACTTTTCAGCAGCCACTCTGAGCGGTATAAGTGATTTGAAAGTGATTTGAACTCTAGCAACATCTCTGGCTGGAAAAAAGCAATGCATGAATGTTACAAAATAGAGACACTTTGTCTGCAGTTTTTACAGGTCTTGCAGAACATTTGTTTAACTTGAAGTACTGGGTATCAGAAACAAGCTAAATAACAACTCCTAGAATGCATGAAAGCAGCAGAGTACAAATATTTTACAAGGCTTTTCTTGTAATCTGTGCTGAACTATGACCTTCTATCAGTCAGTGTGCAAATACCACAGAGAAATGATACATGAACTCTATCTAATAAACAGCTAAATATGTCCTCTTGATCATACCTTTTATGAGCATCTGCCACCACTCCCCTCACAGCCAGCCACCGTATGTATGTTTGGAAACACCCATTCTCATGCACATCACACCACTTCTTCAAACACCAATTACAAACATTGGTGCCCAGCTCCACTGTTCAACACTGTCTTGGAGATTGCAATCAGCAGGAGCAGAGCCATAGTGAACTGGCCAGCCAGTCTACATGCATGCCACCCCAGTGCAGACTGTAAAACACTGTCATAGCAACTGCATAGGGAAACGTGGTCTTCTCTCATAGAATCATTGAATGATTAGGTTTGGAAAGGACCTTGAGATCATCTGGTTCCAATCCCACTGAGTTCAATTTATCCGAAACTAGATTTCTCTCTAAGTTCTTTGGAGGCAGAATGCACCCAGGAGTGTGTTTGTAAAGTGCAGAACTTGTCTAAATTGTCTACTGCTGTAAGACTGTATTTCAGTACTGAACAACAGGAAAGGATCTGAAGATACTACAGGACGAAAAGTGCGTTCCAGTGTGCATGGAGGGTATAAAAACCTGCCTTTAAAGAAAGAATTTAAATGGATATTTCATACATAATTACCTTGGAGCAAACCTAATCGTGAAAAGCATCAAGGTACTTTATTCCATACTGTTACGAAACAAGATCTGGTGTAAGAAGCGAGAGCTGTGATGTCTTCCAAATAGAAAGGGAAGTTGCAGTTCTCTGTATGTGTTCAAGTGATAGTAACATCTGATGTTAATATCTGAAGTGTAGGAGTCTACGTGACATTATTCCTTGCAATCACAGCAATGGATTAGAATTTATCATGTTGGTTGACTAAAATCAGGGACATCTAGTTGTTTAGCAACTTTCAATTAACTGTTGTGGGGTTTTTTTGTTGTGTTGTTTGTTTGTTTTGTTTTTTTTAATTTCTAAATTCTCTAGCTTTTGTATGATCTGAGACAAGCACTTGACATTTCCTAGGGCAAAGAAAGGAGTGTTTTCCTCTTAGGAACAGTCTTTTTCCCTCCTTCACAAAAATCCACCTACATGTGGCCCAGTTAAAAGCTTCTGAAAAGCTGTCATCTGCACATGCTCAGCAGGTTTGGTGAGGCACAGTGTCTAAAACCTACCGTCCACGGGCCTGACTAGATAGTGCACCTGCCTCTGCCCTGAAAATAACCCACTATGAGTAGACTGACAGAGCCACCAATGCATCAAAGTGACAAATGACCATGCAATGGACATACAGGTTCCAGCTCTCACCGAGCTTTTCATATTTTATCAAACTGCATATAAAGAGGAAATTCACTCAGAGATCTACATTGGAAGATTGCTGGCAAGGCAATACAGACAAGAATTACAAAGTCAAGAAATAAAAGAATTACAGTGCCTCTGCATTATGGAACAGTATGTAATTTTATGATTTTATGCTATTTTCTCAAAGTCGTCCTTCACAGCACAGATGGATCCTCAACTGTGCAGCATGTTGTCATATACTCAGCACTGTGTTATCATTAGTTATCGTGTAGTCAGTATTTTATTCTCACCTCATTTCATGGCCCCAAGCCCCTTCCCTAAACTCTATTCAAATCCTGCTCCAAAGATAGGATGACTAATATCGTCATTTTCATGATACTCATAGTGCTTTACAAATGTCAATCAATTTATTTTCACCGCACCCTCTGACTTCTGGCATTTCTAATTACCACTTTCGTGTGGGGGACCTGAGATACACAGACAAAGGTTAAAAAATATCAGTCACTTTGGATGCCCAATTACAATATCTATTGCCTGATTTTCCAAGTGCTAGTATTCAAAACTCTGTTTTTATCGATCTAATTTGCAGCACTGTGTGCTCAGCACTTGTATAAATCAGACTCTAGACTCCAGTCAAGTATGTGGAATGTCAGTAATGTACAATTAGTGACTCTTTATGAGGCAATTACCTAAATAACTTACTGAGTGTTATCCAGGGGCTTTGTAGCAAAAGCAGGTGTAAATCTGTATTTTCACAGGTACAGATATTCCTTTTATCATGAGTCTCTCTCCTATTCTTCCCTCATTCTACTTCCTCACTCCTTAACAGATCTATGGACCAGGAATGGATGCCTGCGCAGGTGCTATCATGGCCTCAGTAACATCCTACTGTTAGTCACCAGGTATTCATATCACATTTCCACGGTGTTGTGAATGCATGGATACACACCCTGAAGGATGCCTGATCACATATTTCACTATCAAAATCTGCTTCATTCTCACCTCTCAGTCCTGCTAGTCATGTAAAGCTGGAACTACATAGGTCAGGGCTGGAAGGAAGCTTAAGAAATCCTTCCCCAGGCTGCAAGATTGTATAGGTAATGTGTATAGGTTTCTAACTTTGAGTATATGACTTTGAAAAAAAAATATTTTATTTAGTATACAGTTATTGTGGGACTAACGTATTTTGTGGATATTTATAATCTTTGTTGCTTTTCCTCAATATTTAATCATTTTTTTCTTTAGAATATTTCAAAGAGTTGAAAAAGATGAAGTGTCAGCCATGCTTTAGGTTGATCTTGGGACCTTAAAAGTAGACTTTTTAAACAACAAACAATCTTTTTCTACTGATCTAGAGCAACTGCTCTAATGGAAGGTGGAACGGCAGGGGAATTGGACCCAGATGATCTTTAAGCTCCCTTTCAGCCTGAACCGTTCTATGATTCCATATAAATCAATCTTCTATTTGAAGCAGCAGGCAGTTTACTTAAACCCATTTTCAAGCTAAAAACTATTGCAAACTACAGATTAAATACTATGTCCTTGTTTTGTGTGAAATGGCAAAGTAGCAGTTGATGGGAAAGAAAACCTTAAACCAAACCCATGTCCTCCTCTTTAGGATTCTCTGTAAAGATTCCAATACCATGAGGTGATGAATGACATTTAGCGCTTGCCCGCCTCAGTAGCTCTAGCAGTGGAGCAGCAGACTACTTTCAATCATTTTGACTACAGATGGAGGAAATTCAGTTTCCTTTTCACTATTAACTGATAATATACAGTGCTAACCAATAATAACACAAGCCATGGAAACTTTCCCACCTGCTGAAGAGGAACTAATTCCCCAGTCCAAAGCACTGCAAGTACTAAGCAAACACATGCACTTTCCAAATGATTCCTCTTTCCTGGGAGTGTTTTAACACTTGCCATGCATTAGGAATCATTCACATAATACATAAAAAGTAAAATACAAGAAAAACATCCACACTTGTGCAAAGAGCTTGAGAGCAGAATGTTACAGATTTCTGAGACCTTTTTCGAAATGGCACTAGGAATAGGTTGAATTTGGGGCAGGGGATCTGAAACATCTCTATGTGACATCTCAGAATAAGCAGGGTGAAAACAATCTGGTCACAGAAATTATAAGTGTATGTAAAAATAAGCCCTCATTCTGTCTTTCTCTATTTATCTCTACACCAGGAAATATTACTTGGGAGCACGGACACTCTGACATTTTGAAATTTAGTCCCAAATGAGATTCCAGTCAGAAATGCCAGCCTCATGAAAATAATCAGATCCAATGAAATGCAAAAGGTGTGACCTAAATTATCAAAATAAAAAGTGATGATATGAACTCCCTTGGAGAGAACACAGGGTCATCAGACCACAACTCGGTAAGGGTAACAGACAGCAAGGAGGCAAAGGCATTGGACTGGAGAAACCCAGTGAATGTGGTATAACAAGAGGAGATTAAACCTGGTCAAGTATGGAAAATTGCAGGCACATTGCAACAAGGTTTCTAAAAGAGGGAATACAAATGAAAATTAAAACCAACATGAAACTTTATACACAGAAACATCTTAATGACATCCGTATCTCAGCAATTTCAAGAGGCTCTCCTTAAAGAAAGCATAAACGATATGTCTGAAAAGTAAGTGTAAGCATTTGAAAACGTGGAAGGAAAATGGTAACTCTCCTCCTGCAATATTGATCAGGTGGGCTGGGATTTCTGGGGGCAAATGTAGACATGCAGCTTGTACACACCTGGTCCTGAGCTAGTTTCTTAAGCAAAGAAGGTAAGTTGGTACTTCTAATTTCATCCAAAGGTAGACATCTAAACCAGGTCAGATGAATCACACTGTAAAAATGTCAATTTATCTCCACTGGCTATATGGCGAAGCGCAACTGAGCAGGTCAGCCTAAGGTGTCTACACTGTAAGCTTCTGCAGTGAGGTGAGTTGAACATTGCTCGAAGCAGCTGTTGTTTTCACGTGACTGTTGTGAAATGCTTGCTGACTTTTTGAGAAACGCAAACAAATTTTCACGGGGACTCACCCTGAGGGTTATTGACCGAGGTGGTTTCTGAGGAGGATCTTCGTGAAGCCTGTCTCCCAAAGATGCCAGAACACGCTTCCGGTGGCCAATCAAGCTAATTTTTAAGACCTGAAATATTAACAAAAACACCTTGTTAAAAAGAACACATTGCAATCATTAAATGAAGACCCAGAGTGAAGCCATTTTCTTCTTAACCCTTTTAACAAGTTAGTCCACTACACAGCTTAAGCAGACAGAGAGCAGTGCAAGGCAAACAATCAGCAGAGAAAATGAGAAGCAAGATCAGAAGAAAAACCCTGCAGAATGAAGGAAGAAACCAAAGCAGGTATAGATGAGGAAAACTGGGAAAAAAAACCAAAACAAAAAACAATTAATAAGGAGGAAAAGAAAATGAAACAGGAAGAGAAGGTAGCAGAGAGGGAGCAAAAACAAGGGGAAGGGAGAAAGAGACTGAAGAAGGAAATGCAGAGGTGCAGGCAAACAGTGAATCATGAGGATTAAGGGGATTCACAGGACAGATGAGGGAGTGCATAACAGCCAGCAAATGCTTACAGAGAGCAAGAGGGGAGAAAAGGAAACTCACAATGAATAAATGTTAACACTTTTAATTCAATTCACCATGACTTTCACAGGTAATCTCTGAATGACACATACAGTTTGCATTATTGTGTAGAATCATCCTTGCATTAGAAACACAGGATGGACAAACTTTGTCCTGGAGGTATATTACTTTTATCAGATACAATCAAAAAAATTGCTGTTGTACACAAATGTGATTGTCAGTGGACAGGTTGAAATACCTTGTGCTTGTCCAAACTCCAAGAACACTGACAAAAAGGTGTACTGAATTTACTGCAACTACTCCCCACTTGTATCTCTCTGTGCCCCTGCCACATATGCAACCACAACTGCTTTCAGGAAAACAGAGAGAGCAGAAGCAGCAAGTTGGAAAGTTAAACATCAATGGGAAAAAAAAAATAAATTGTATTTTGTTGCTATTCTTTCATGGTTACAATGCTCTAACTGTAGAAGCAAACCTCTGCTCTGCAGAGTCGTGTCCTCATGTAACTCTTCCAGACTGTATATATGGTTTCATACACCAGAACTGCCTCCATTCCCACTCAGAAGACAGTACTTCCCACTATATTTAGGACCACCATGTGTCAACACCCTTCAGCTGAGAGGAATTTCTCACTCAACCTAGAAAAAGTAATAGTCCCCAGAAAGCCCTGAAAATGCTATTTCTTTAAGTGAACAATTATCTCAGTTTAAACAGTACCACTAAGAGCCACCATTCATGAGAACAAACATAACCCAAACCCCAGCAACTCCCCTATGACATCTCTTAGATCCACTATCTCAGGATATGATGGAGCAACATGCTGTCATTATTACCGTGGGTGAACTCCTGCCCATCCATAAGCATGTGAATTCATTCACACTTCCTCTGTTGGATATTTCTATACTACCTGATATTGTTGAACATCAAGAATATCTTGTCTGCCTGCATCTACGAAGTAATGGGCTATGACATAAAAGAGATTGAGGCCTTCCTTGCAGACGCAGCTTACTGGGTTGTTGCAGACCCAAGTTGCAGAGTACCACAAGCCTGCTGTGTGCTCCCTTATTAATCTAAATCTGGAGAAGCATGAGTGAAGCTGAGATAGCACAGCACACACAAAAATGCCAGAGGCATGCAGGAGACAGTTACGTATTCAGTTTACATTGAATGTTAAACAGAAGGGTGCACAGTTTGTCTCCGTATTTAACTATATGAAACATGGGAATGAAACACAGCTGCTTTACGCATTACTTGGGTAATGCACTTCAATGAACTTGCTTATTTCTTAGCGCTTCCCCATCATCAAGAGCATTTATCCGGAGATTTTTAAGTCAAGGTACAGCTCTTCAGCTGTTTCGAGGTCCTTGGTGCTCTCTGGCTGCCTTACTAGCTGTGTCAAACCACACAAAGCAATTCTCTTTGACTTAACAGAGCTGTTGAACAAGAGAGAAAAGGACATGAGTCTTGAGTTACTTCACACTTAAGAGGCCAGCAGATGGGTCTAAATAGCTATATTATTTCAAAATCTGTGCTCAATTCGAAAGCAATACAGATCTTTACACACCATAAGCACTGCTAAGCTTATTTGACATTTTGTTTTTCCATTAAAGTGATGGTCACCCCAAAGTTGAAGTGGTGGGGATTTAAAAATGCAACCTACAGAAACATATGGTTCTCAGTCAACAGGCAGCTGTAGCCCAGTCCCATGTGGACCACATATTCTGTTAACTGAGGACGGCTGTATTATTCTGGAAATGGTCTCCCTAGTTATTTTCTTACTTAGAAAACCTGTTACACAACTTACAAATACAAAATACTGTTTTTCTGAAACACTTCTTCATTTGAGTTAGAGTTTAACAAACACCCTGAAATTCTGAAAATTTGTTCTGTGATGGATTATCCCCAACAGTTATTTATCCAAAATGTCAAATATCACAAATATAGGTCAGGAGTGTGCAATGGTAAAGTTGCCTACAGCAGAATATGATAAATATCATAATGCTGTGTATCAGGTAACTATTAGAAGTCTTGCACTTCTTTAGCCCACAAGTTACTTCCCCACGAATATTTTCTACATTCCTGGTAACACTGAACACAGTTAACACTGAACTATAGCGGCAGTCAATACAGTGCACCTAAGCGCTACATAGTGAAGCATTTTGTCAAATGGATGCATCCTACTTAATATATGACAGTGAAATGAGCTTTGCAGCATGGCTGCAGGAATCAGCTACAAGATGTCATGAAACTGTTCAGTGTAGCCTAAGGCCCTCCGCAACCTGTGATTCCGTTACTGGGACAAAACAAAAAGGCCATTTATATGACATGCCACTTTCCACACCAACAGTAGGATACCCAAGACAAAAATAATACAACTCCATCTCGTGTATTTGCTTACATTTGATGCTGCAATACAATTAAAAGAGAATGGGGCAAGTCATTTGTCCAAAGAAATGATACATGTTCACAAATCTAATAATATTTTTACATCCATATTCTCCAATGATTAGCATACAAAATGAAATTCCACTAGGAAATGTAAGGAATCCACAAATGTAACCAATGTAACACTTTGCATTTAAATTTCTGACTTAGTGGACAGATGTTTTAAAAAACAAACACATGTAGTCCAATAACTCCCTGATGACTGTGTATGTGCAGATGCTGGAATTAACAAGCTACTCCATCTAAAACTAAGCATTATTTCTGCAACATTCTTCTGCCTCATCTTTTCTTCTAATTGAACAATATGATCCAATACTGTATTTTTATAATTTTACTACTTTTCCCCTCCCTTTAAAAACAGTATTCTAAAGATTACTGAAATTCAAGATAATCAATTTTCTTTCTTCTGGGGTAACCTGAAAAGTTACTGTATGGGCTAACAGGAGAACCATAATAGTGCAAGTGGTCTGGACTAAATGTGTAGCAGCCATCAGACACTGGGACTAGCCACAAAGTGGAAAAGTAGAGAGTGATCAGAATGGCACTAGTGATTCTCTGGTAGCAGCATCAGACAATTTAGAATTTAAGAAGAAAAAATAGTAAATACATGCCAACAAGGTGTGATCTTCCAATTTCAGCAAGCAAACAGCCCCACATGCTAGCTAAATTCAATTTTATTAACCATTTTACTGCTGGTTATACTGGAATAAACTCCAGGCTATTCGGAACTGGGGGTGAAGAATGCATTGATTATTCCCACGTTCCTGACACAATGCCACCCCACAGGGCTTTATCCTAAAGCACAGCACTGCCCAGAATATCCAGGAAGTGAGCCCAGACCAACCAGTGCAGCTCACCTGATCATCAGGGTTGGTTTAACCAAAAATTTGAAAAAGGATTAAATACACTTGGTATGTAAATTCCCAGTATGGACAACTGTTCCAACTGTTTACAAATCCTATCTATAGAACTGCTGTCAGTGATTAATAGTTAAAATAAAAAAAACCAACCAAACAAAAAAAGGCAAGAAAACCCCTATGCCCCACATACTGATCAAGATTACATAGTATAATAATTGGCGTATTTTGAAAGATAAATATGCCTGAGTCAGCTGTGATACTGAATGCCCAGTGGCTTACCAGACACAGCCAAATCCAGTACAAATCATCTCAAACATCTGTTGAATTTTTCACATACAGATACTTTATGCTCTTTCTCATCCTGACTGCAACTACTGATTCCTGCCAACCCTAAATTATCACAAACCCTTGCCATTTTTGTCAGCCCAGGGATTTTCCTATAAAGCCCTGACCTCCCAGCAAAGCACAGGCACAGGAAAACAGAGAGGCTCCAAAGGACCCTGCAGGTCAGAGACTTGCTGCAGCTCTGCTAGATGCAAGACCTCTGGTTTCCACGACTGCAGTGGAACCAATTGTTTATTATGCCCACAAAGAGTCTTGCAACGGACTTACAACTTCGTATCATAATGATATGAAATGTGCACCATTATTCCCCTGAATTAATTACCCAACTAGAAACAGATGTCTGTTGTCTTCATGACAGCATTTCACAAAGACAGATGGCTGCCTAGTAAGTCCCACTTCCATACATTATCACGAGGAACTGATGTTTGTCTGGTGTGTTTCCCCCCCCCCCCAGTATATAATTTAGTTCCAGATCTCCAATTTAATGGTATCAAGAAGTCAAAGGCAAGAGTTGTCTCTGAGTAAGAGCAATTTTTAATCCCAGGTTGTTACACTCTGAGCTGCACTGCTGCGCATTACATGCCGCCACAGCAGCAGTGTTACAACACTGTTCAGCCATTGCCACCCCAGGTCAGATTCAGGCGGGTTAGAATTTATTATTTTTTTGCAGAAGTCCTTATTTTTATCATGTTTTGTTTTCCAAAAGAAAAAATAAACTGTTTTCCAATTTCTCATTAGTTTAAGAATTGGCTGACTGAAAATATCAGGTGCTAGTACTTCCCCTAAAGAGGAGAAAAAAAAAGTAATGGTAATTTTGTGCTTGTAATTGATAACCCTTAATATTTCAGTGGAAAATATTAATGTAATTTTTAATTAATAAAAATCAGGAA